CCGCGAATTCTAATTTTAAGAAATTATGTTCAAATTATTGCCCTTCTCATCGGAGTAAAACAACTCAGTCACAGCAAACATCTCCAGTCTTAAGGTTTGCGGAGCCCAAGTTTGCTGGACATCAGTCAATAAAATAATCCCATGATGAACCATTAAGAGCCTTTAATGAATACAGAGGATAACAATCGGTCCCGTATGGCATTAACTTTGAAGTGAAGACTCATCTTTATACTATTATGACTGGAAAGAAAAACGAAAACCAAATTCTCGAAACGTTTATACAGCCAAGCCTGCTCTAATGGCCTCCTGTATAACAGACCACGCCCTTCCCCCTGCTTAAAAAACCCAAAACAAAACAAAAACGACACTGTCCAAAATGCCCACTGTTTCATAGACAATGGGTGACCGTCTTGGACAGTTTCTACTGTAGCAGCAATCGTGGGGTGGGGAGATCGGGCTGTTGGTTTCTGGGAAGGAAAAACTATCGGTGAAGTGCCGCACGAAGCACTCACTGGCTGCGCGTGACCAGTGGTGGGGGAAAGGGAGAGCACGAGAGAGAGAGAGAGAGAGAGAGAGAGAGAGAGAGAGAGAGAGAGAGAGAGAGAGAGAGAGAAAGAGACTGGCTGTACTGACATAGAGAGTCGGTGCCACAGGATGAAGCAATAAAGGATGGGAGAAGTAGGGAGGGGGAGGAGGAGGTGGTGGTGGTAAAGGAAGGGCTGCGCGATTGGACAACAAATCGAACAGGTCCCCAGAGAAAGGGAAAGAGAGCAGGGTCTACCACGTAGATCGGTCATATACGAATATAAACAAGGACCGGCTACCCCAGGCCTCAGACACCTTGCGTTGTCACTGGGATATAACAGCTAAACATATAAAGTTTCAACACGGTTGATTTTTTCACCTGTCTACCTATCGATTTGAGCATCATAATAAAAAACATGACTGTCGCATGCTGCGATCCCATTACTTGTTGAAGTATAAAGAGACACCCATCGACACAACAACGGCTATTTAGCGTTAAGAGGAAACTGTGTTGTTTCAGTAAAGGTTTTACGGCGCTTGCAACTGCATATAAGGAAACAAGACACAGAAGTATACAAAAGAGGGGAAGCAAAAAAACAACAGGACCCACACGTGGCTCCCTCCAACCACCCGCTGACATTTCAAAGCACAGAACAACCACGTGAACAACTGGATCATTCCAGCGGAAAATGAAAAAGTCTTGCTTCGCTTGCATAAGGAGATGATTTCAGAAACATCTGGAGGAAGAAATTCGGAGCAATAATAATTTACAATTTCTAAAAAAAAGTTTTTTTTAAAGTTTCAAAACTTACCACCCGCTGGTAACTTCGACCCACGTCTGTATCTGATAGCAAGACTCGACTGGGTTAACAGAGAGGACTAGGAGAGTTAGAATAGGTTGCCTGCCTTTACTTCTAGAGACTCAGAAGTACATCTATCAACCCAGAAAGCTCGGGGTTCCCACAGACGCCAAGGGGTCTACGCGCCGACGTCTGGGGTGGGGACGAGGGGGCATCGCTGGTTCCCTTCATCTCGCAAACTCTCCCAGGCTAAACGGGGCTCACTCACCGCACACTAACGCACTTCTTCAGTCTCAGTCTCTAAAGTCGCACGGGCCAGACAAGAGCTCGGCCACTCTCGCTGTGACTCATCCATCACCACAGACAGACAGTCAGCCAGCCACCCGCCTGAGCAGCCCAGTGCACCCATCGAGAACCGGTACCGCCACATTTGTTGAGCTCACTTCGCGCACCACGCTTTTCAGTTTGAGTAAAGAGAAGCGCAACGAAGAAGCAGGACAGATAGACAGAAACAAAAGAGAAAAAAAAAGAAGTAGGACTTGCCAGCGCCGCTATACACAAGCCCGCCCCGCACCAGGCTTTGTGTTTTGAGTAAAAAGAAGCGCATCGACACAAAAATAACGGTCACATAGTGCAGGGAACAAGCAAGACGGAAAGACAGAAACAACTGGGAAAGAGAAGAAGTGCAACCTACCAGTGCCGCCACACTCAAGCCCACACCGCACCAGGTGACCGCTGGGTGTTGTAATAATAAACAGGAACGGCTCACGTACGTAAACGCTTTGCTTCGATTCAATTAAACAACAACTGGTGCTGTGAATAACCTCTCACAAACTGTTTTTGTGTGTGTGTGGAAAACTGCGTGTGGGATTGCTGTCTCTGTAATTGGCAGTCATTCATTTCCTGGAGGCTGCAATAGGCATTCATTCATCTATTCTCGGAGGTGTGTGTGTGTTAACGTAAACTAACTCGACCACAAAACGTGTGAAAATTCATTTCTAGTCAGTGCAGTTCTTGGCATTCAGAGTTTCAGTTTGGAAAGCACCTGGTGGCAAGTTATTACTTAAGGTCTACTTATCACATTAACGTGTGTCTAAGAACTTTTTAAAGTTTAAGTAAGAGTTTTTACGGTACTTGCAACACGTCTGAGAACTACAGCAGACAACCACTACTAAATTACAACCAACAGGAGGCGACTACAAATAATATAAGAGAACAAGAGTTAAGAAATAAAATAAGTAAGGTCCACCAGTGGCAACATTCAACCATCCGCAAAGGAGTTGTGCTTCAGGCATCATGTGGATGACTTGGTAACACAGAGTCGCTTCTCCCAACATCAACACCGACAGGACAACTTACACCCTCCCCCCTTTCCGGCAAAAACTATTCCTAGCGGCATGGCCATCGACGACAACGACCCTACAGCACAGCCCGAGCAGCACAACACCAACCCCGGGACACCCGCCGACAACCCACACAACCCGCTCGACCTGACGGACGGGGAGAGAACGGCACTCGTCGGCATTCTCACCTTCATGGGCGTCATCATAGCGCTGGGCGGCATAGGTGAGTTCTACATCTTTCTTTTTCTGGGGGGCGGATAGATTAGA